TATTTTTCTTTACTATGAATTTAATGTCTATTTGTACCTCATTTATAGAGATAAGTTATTAACATGTTATTGTCTATGTGATAAATATTAAATTTATCTACCTAAATAAGGAGCAAGTAGGCCTTAAATTTGATGTAAGAAAAAAATGCTAATTTACTTAAATTACTAAGTTTTAAAGTTTACTTATTTCAATAAAAATTTAAAAAATTATTAAAATTTTGAAATAAATTCATATCCTTAATGCAAGGTTTTGTTGCCTCTATTTTATCAAACCGAAAAAGGTTGAAAATAGTAGGAGTTTGGAATCCGGCACTGCATCAGGCAGCTGGCACCGCTAACGGCTAGTTGGCCAAGATGACTCTTCCCAATTCCCAACGGCAACCAGCCTAAGCGTCGGCAAAGTCAAGTTTTATTTTGATTATTGGTATCATTTTTATTAAAAAGTATTTTCTTATTTTTTTTGGCTGAATTTTTTTTTTTTATAAGTAAACAAAAATTATAAATTAGATTGCGACAAAAGTATGGTGGTATGGTATGGACTTCCTGTCCCGCGTCCCGACAGGATACCAAACTTCAACACTCACCAAACCCTGGCTTTGTAGTATTAAAAAAATCTAAAAAATCCCACTAAAAATTTAAAAAATTCTTTATATTGTGTATAAAAAGTTGCTTGAGATTAAAAAAAAAAAATGATTAGCTTGACTAAAATACTTTATGCAATTTTAAGATTAAGCACTCCTATAAAAGATAAATTATACTTGATATGGTTGAGCAATGTGTCTTTCATTTATTATGTACAAGTGGTCTTTTATTTTATAGATTAAATTTGTTTGAATTATAAAATATTTTTTTAGTAAAATAATATGAAATATTTTTGGATCCAATAGTTATCTTAAATAGTTGTTAAAAAATGTAGTTGTTGAGGATTTAAGAGCCGTCATCTTATTTTTAACAATAAATAAAAATTATTTATCAAATACTTATATTTAACTAATTAAGTTTAAGAGTTGCCAATTGTCTCCCAACCTCCTAAACAAATAATTCTTTAAACATATTGATAACATAAATTCAAAATCATATGAATTTAAATATAAATAATTTTAATAAATCACAATTGTCATTTTTAAAAATAATATTTTAACTCATTCTTGA